TAATCTCTAACTATAACAGCAATTTGCATTTATATTTACAAATTCTAATATATAATTTTAAAAGAATAACTAAATATGACTCTCATTGTGTGTGTGTGTGTACTTTACTCATAGACTTTAAATCTGGAAGAGACCATCAAGATCACCTAGTTTTATTTATTTATATATAATGTGTGTATATAAAAAAAATCAGAAAAGCAGTATTTACTTCTCCATCATCAACTCACTTTGTCATAGAAATGATTAATATAAAAGGTATCCTTAGTATACAGTCAAATTTGAATTATAGTGTATGATGTTAATTACTTTTACAGCACCCACAAATGTATAGTACTTACCAGTACAACTAAAAGGAAAAGCAAGCACATTTCAAAGTTCCTAAGTGACCTAAACACCTAAGTGTTGCTTTTAAAAGCAACTAAGGTGTTTAAGAAGCTTAAGTTTCAATGAAAATCAATGGGACTTAGAGTCTGAAGCACCTACATGTCTTTTGAAAGTTGGAGTTAGGTGCTTTGGAAAGTTTCACTCCAACTCTGCACCACAAAGAGCTCTTAATATACAGGCAGTCCCCGGGTTACGTACAAGATAGGGACTATAGGTTTGTTCTTAAGTTGAATTTGTATGTAAGTCGGAACTGGTACATATTTGTAGGGGAAACTCTAGCCAAACATTTCTCCAGAGCTCAGTTTTATTCTCCCACACCTCACTTCCCTCAGTCCTTTATTCTCAAGCTGAGGTGTCTGCTGAGAGAAGCCGCTCCGCGTCTCCCTGGTCTGCTGGGGGGAGCGCTAGCTTCGCGTCTCCCTGGTTTGCTGGGGGGAAGCAGCTCGTGCGGAGTTGCCTCACCCCGTTTGTAAGTAGGGATCCGATGTAAGTCGGATCCATGTAACCCGAGGACTGCCTGTAATTCTAATCGCACAAATATATTAAACATAAATATAGTTTCTATTTGATTTTCTCAATATAAAATCTAATTTAAATCTTTCACCACAGTCTACTGTATTATGTTGGAAGCTCAATATATTAATTGAATATGCAAATACCTAATAGAAACCACTCTTGAATGATCAGAATTTTTTTACTTTAATATTTCTCTATTAATTTATCTGAAGAGGGCAGTAAATTAAAACAAGATAAACAATCTAGCCTGTGATAATCTGAAATAGCCCCTCTCTCTCTCTCTCTCTCTCTCTGTGTGTGTGTGGGGATATATATAATGTTAAAAATACTGTTGATTACAAACATTGTTGAACCAAAATTTCCATGACTTATGGAGAAATGAATTAAACTCCCTAAATAACTACTGCAAATTGTTGCAAACTCGTTATTCAATGCCTGTCATATAAAAAATTAACTGGTATATACATCAATGAGATATACTTCAGTCTCTGCTGTCTTTACCATCACCAATCTACGATGCCAAAAGTGGTTAAAAAATCCAACCAACTAAAAAGCCCTGTATGAGAACTGAGTAAAAGATATAAAAATGCAACCCAAGGTTCAATAGAATTAGCTATTTTTACAGCTAACATCTTTTTTCGGCTTTGGAATTCCAATCTGCAGTGAGCACGTTTATAGTTCATAAACACAATTAAAAAGGTTGCTTGCAAAATCCAAAACCAGTGGAATTAGTTGCAGATGGAAGTGGTTATACTCTTCAGCACAACTGCAACAGCTGGCTGTTTGAACTAACAGCAGCTGAACAGAATCCACTTTCACGCCAAGCAATTGGGGGAAAAGGAATATCATTCTACCTCCCACTTCTTCTGACTCAGAAAATCAAAAGGATGTAGAGGAAAAATAAACCAGAAAAAAATCCTAATTCAAGACCTACTTTCTAGAGAGCTTTCAGATACCATCTCCAAAAAGTACAGTATTGATTTGGCTGTACAAAGCTTATAGGGATTCTTGCTTTATGCTAGGCATATTACCTTCCATGTTAGATTTTAAGAGGGAGATCAATCAGAGTGAAGTATACTGTGCTCAGAAATACTAAGCAAGAGTGACAAAGACCTACAGGTTTCACTTTTTTTTTTAATAAAGGATAACGTTTTATTAAGATTATATCCATACATCTTAAACAAAAATATTTATTTCCCAATACAAATTCAATTTGTGCACTGATCTTGGGACTTTCAAGGTTTTTAGTTATTTATATTTATCATTATAAACAAAAGGAATATGACACCTAACGAAGCATAGACCCATGACATTAAATAATAAACAAGCGCCCTATAGCAAACCACATCCCACATTTAAGTATTGTGCATTATGAAATAGACATACAGATGATAAATAATTAATTGTTGCATTCCACTGACACTTGACTTCTCTGTTTAAGAATACAATCACTTTTGACTCAGGTGTCCGTATGGCACACTGTGTAAATGATACATCCCCACCTTCATTTTGAAATACATGGTATACAGGTATCAGAGGGGTAGCTGTGTTAGTCTGAATCTGCAAAAGCAGCGAGGAGTCCTGTGGCACCTTATAGACTAACTGAAGTGTTGGAGCATGCTCGGGGGTCAAGTAACTAAAGTTTTCGTGGGCAAAGACCCACTTCGTCAGATGCATGTAGTGGAAATTTCCAGAGGCAGGACACAGACAACCCGCCAACCTGAAGCGTATTCTCACCAGCAGCTATACACCGCACCATAATAACTCTAACTCAGGAACCAATCCATGCAATAAACCTCGGTGCCAACTCTGCCCACATATATACACCAGCAACACCATCACAGGACCTAACCAGATCAGCCATACTGTCACTGGTTCATTCTCCTGCACATCTACTAACGTAATATATGCCATCATGTGCCAACAATGCCCCACCGCTATATACATCGGCCAAACTGGACAGTCCCTACGTAAAAGAATCAATGGACACAAATCAGATATTAGGAATGGCAACATACAAAAACCTGTAAGGGAACACTTCAATCTCCCTGGACACACAATTGCAGATCTAAAGGTAGGCATCCTGCAGCAAAAAAGCTTCAGGACCGGACTTCAAAAAGAAACTGCTGAGCTACAGTTCATCTTCAAGTTTGACACAATCTACTCAGGATTAAACAAAGACTGTGAATGGCTCTAACTACAAAAGCAGCTTCTCCTCTCTTGGAATTCACACCTCCAGATCAGCTACTAGAAGTGGGCCTCATCCTCCCTGATTGGAACAACCTCGTCATCTCTAGCCTGATTCTGGCCTGCATATTTATACCTGCCTCTGGAAATTTCCACTGCATGCATCTGACGAAGTGGGTCTTTGCCCACGAAAGCTTTAGTTACGTGACCCCCAAGCATGCTCCAACACTTCAGTTAGTCTATAAGGTGCCACAGGACTCCTCGCCGCTTATGGTATACAGGATTTGTTATAACATATTAGACCAGTATCAAGTTCAAAAGCCTGCCCCTGGCACTGGCCAGTCACATGTAATGCATGTGGTCATGAGCCTTACCATGAAAAAAATATATTCAACAGTGAAAACAATAGAGTAGTTAGAAAACATGCATTCACCACAGAAAACTCCAAATTCCTAAATAATTGAAAAATGCCATTCAGTGATATTTGAAAGAGAATTTCTCCAAAGGGAAACACACGTGCATACTTTAAAGACTAAAACTGAGCACCCCAGTCCTTCAAATCCTCACTCATGCTAATAGCCTCACTGGCTGCAATGGAACTACTTAAGTGGCTCTAAAGTACTTGGGTGAGGAAAAGTTTGAAAGAATTGGCCCGATTTGTAGGCTCTGTAGCAAACAGATACCAAAAGAACTATATATGAAGTGTAGCACTCTTATGTCCGTGGGTAGACTGAGATCTCTGTAACACCCAAGGACAAACTTCATGCTAACAGCAGGTGTCATTACGTTGACAAAAATTAGTAACTGGGTTTTAAGAGAATATTTACTCTCCCCTTTAAAACCAGATAAGTAATTATATTGTCTGCCTTCCTCTGAATACAGATTATTCTTTACAATGTTTGAAGCCAAGTATCCTTGGCTTGAAAGGGATTTCACAAGGGGAGGTTAGTTCATCTCCATTTCCTGAACCGTGGCATAATGGACTGCACTGAATCTGAGTTATACTTTGTAGTTGGGTGTCACTTTTTGGACCAAATCATTCATTCCCGCTTTATGGTGCGACAGGATATTTAGTGGAAGGAAGTAAAGAGTGAAATACACCTGACATATTGTGCTAGGCACTCACGTTTTGATTCTACACTGAATAAAGATGATGATATTAAACAATTTAAAAGCTGTAAATTAAGCAACAGGTACCATTTAGAATCTATTTAGCATCATCTTGGAATGTAAATGTCTTTTGCAGTAATCATTCTTTTTTTTAAAAAATTAAAGAATCTGAAAAGCTGAAATCAACAAGAAGATTTTCTGAAGGAAAGACAATATAATCTGTCATTCACCACATGGCCAGCTAGCTGTACAGACAAATTAACAGATGAAACAACACCTCTAAACCACCTACAGCAGAGAAACAAAAGAAGGTATTTTAAGTAAACCATTAGAATTTTCTCTTAGTAATGATCAAAATGCTCTTTGCATAACAGACTTTTATTAAAAGGTTTGACAGGCACTGAACAGTATGCCACTTTGTATTTCTATTGCTGCTGCCGACCAAAGATCTCCAAGAGCTGTACAAACACTGAAGGCCAGATTCTTTTTGGGTCACTTCTGCAAGTGTGCAGTTGTAGGAGAAGAAAGTTCAAGAAGCCATTTTCTTGTTGAATTGCCCACACCAGGGCTAGGCAGATTTGTAGTCAGTGCTCCATCTCGCCTCTACTCCAGATCTTGGGTTGGGACTGCGGAATGGGAGAAATGAACTGCACCTCTCTCTCCCTACAGAGGTGGAGTAGCCTGCGTGACTCTCCATGCCAATTCACTTTCAGAATATGATCTGAAGAAGTGGGTCTGCTCCACGAAAGCTCATCGCTTAATAAACTATCTTGTTAGTCTTTAAAGTGCTATATGACTACTTTAAGATCAGACTAACACGGCTACCTCTCTGTTACTCTCCTACATAATGAGGTCTAAGAGGCCTACTGCCTCCTCTGTTTTACTGAGGTAAGGTACCTTCACATGGCCCCTTTCAATGGGTGTGCCTCAATATAACCCCAAATAAAGAAAGACTGTCAAGTACAGTAAAGCATATGAATCACCTGCTTAAGTTTAAGTATATATTTAAGTCTCATGGATGTCAGTGGGAACTTACAAGCTTTGCAGAATCGGGGCCTATGACTCCTGATGCTCCTTTGAGGTGTCACTTTCTGTTTTACTAATGAGGAAATAGACACTGAGAAGTGATTTGCACAAAGTCACACACCACGTTTAACAAGCAGACCATGACTCCTCTCCATATCCCCCATGATGCTTCAGAACAAGAGAGCAAACCACCAAATCAAATACATAAATAAGATATAACATCTGACACAAAATGTGTCAATGCGATCCAAATAGATAACTGATGACATAACATGCAGTGAAAATTACATACTCAATAAAATGGTTGGACTAAACATAAGCTATGCCACACAAGTTCTTATCCAAATTGATAGCATTGCTATGAAAACCCCATTTTTTTCTTCTTTACTAGTTTGTGTTTAGTCAATAATGGTGTGTCCATGATTTTACAATTAGTAATAATATTTCTTCCATTACTTCATTAAAGTGATTTTTCCTATGAAAGATTTAATTTATTAGAAAACAACTTGCTGCAGCCTTATCCACTATTTTATTAAAGAAAAAAAAAAGCCAGACACTCATAAGCAGAGAGATAAATACAAGTATATAGGGCAGAATTTAAGCAAGTATGTTAAGGCACATAGATATATGTTGCTCGTAAATAGGCTAAGTGTGACCATGAATGATAAATTGAAATATCAAAGAGTTTTACCAGTCGTGGAAACAGTTAAAGAATATCTTGACGTGTCTATACTAAACAAAAATAAACAGAACCTACTGAGGCGCTCTAAAAGGCATTAGCATAGCCATAGTTGGAATATTTGTGTGCCATTCCAGTCACTATATTTTAGGAAGAATACTTCTGCAGCAGAAAGCAATTAAAATAACTCAGTTTTGTGGCTCTGAGCTTCCAAAAACAATTATTCAGACTTGGCGTATACAGCTCTGAAACTCAGAGACCAGGAGATAATCTTGGAGACATGTCAGATACTGAAACGAAAGGAACACATTGACGCCAATAAGCAATTTGAGATGGTTCCTAATTTAAAATCACCACGAACTGTAAGGAACACTTCCAAGATTTTTAATATCTAGTAAGTAATAACTTACAATTTTATCTGCTTTCACTTAATAGCCCTCCTTCCCCCCTTCTCACCTGGAAAAAAAACTGTCTAAAAAAATGATATATGGCAATGCTCATAAAGTAACGTATTGCAGTAATGAAAAATACAGGGATGAGCACATCTTAGGACATGGACACATAATCTCTATAAACCAAAGCTAATTTCTTGACTCTGCTTTATCAGTTCTTAACCATTTAAAAGCCTTTTCAATTTTGCTTTCATGAACACACACCAGGAAAGTTACAAACAGCAAACCTTTTATCATCATCATCCATTTGAGAGCTACATAGGACCTTCAATCAGAGAATTTCAAAGTGCTTAACAAACAAGGACGTCTTAACATCCCTGTGAATTAGGAAGGTACTATTATATCTACTGTAATGTTCAGGACACTGAGTCAATGAGTTTAAATTACTTACCCCAATGTCATACAGAAGGTCAAACAGAAGCACTATGAACAGACTCTGAGAGTCCCAATTCTCAGTCTCCTGTTGTAACCAATAGAGTACACTACTCCCTATATCCAATTCAACTATTGAGGCATTTATGTCTACATTGTAGACATAAGGGGGATATTTTCAAAGTTAGAAAGGGGAGTAAAGCATGCAGCCAGCTCCCACTGAAAGTCAGTGATAATTGTAGGGTCTCACTCTCATTTGTAAAATCTGTCCGAAGGACCCTGCAGGAGTACTTTAGTCAACACATTACTTGACAGAAGCTCAAGCAAAAAGCATCTAAGCAACTTGCTCTGCTGAGAGAGAGATTTCATAAGAAAGCAGCTTTGAGAGCTTCCAACCAGTTAGTCTAAATGTCAGTGGGTGAAAGGCACTTTATAAATAGAAAGTGAACGAAACACAGGTTTAACGCAGGTTACGACACAGTAATGCAATGTCCTTTCAAACTGGAAGGGAAGTAGTTGCCAGATCAAATAGAATTCCTCTACACAGGGACTGGCAGGACTGTGACCCTTAACTGCTGAAGCTGGCAAAAGATGTGCACATAGTATATCAGGTCCATGGGGAGCAGAGCAGGTTTCTGGTAAGAAAGGGATAGACACGGGTAATCCTTCATGATATTTTGGGAATCAAGATAATGAGCTAGATCAGGGATGGCCAAACTCTGGCTTGTGAGCCATGGTTCTTTTACCATTAAAAGTGTGACCCTTGGAGCCTACAATACACACACCCCCTTCTTCACCTACCAGAATGGGGCTGTGAAGAGCTCAGAACCTCTGCTTTGCAGGGGGTTGATGGGGTATGGGCTTCTACCCAGCAGGGAGAGGGAACACCTGCCAAGGCTCAGGGCTTCTGTAGGAGTGGGACTGAAGCCCTAAATCCCAGCAGGTGCCTCCCATGGGGCAGAAGCTCTGAACCCCAGAAGGAGTACCCCAGCTCTTCAACTTCTGAAAATCATCATATGCTGCTCAGAGGGTTCATAAATTTGGCCACCCCTGAGCTAGATGAAGACCTTTGTGGCTAAGCAGGCAACCACTGGCTCCAAGACAACAATCGTCTCCTACATCCAATGTTTGGTTTCTATTTTTAAAGGGGAATACAGGCTTTGAGTTTGCTTTTTAAATAATAATGGAAAACAAGCAAAACATTTCTGAGACACTGTGCATTAGAGAGAGAATGTCAGTGTAACAAGATTGTAAAATTTGCATCTATATTTTCAGTATTATTGGGTTCAACATCTGCTTGAATTCAGAAGCTGCATATAACTAAGATCTATGATCAATGAGTTTACTGAATCTCAGCTCCCCTCTAAAGTGGGCATTATGCTTACATTAATTTAGTGCTTTCCAACACATTCTCCCTGAGGTGGCTGAGGGGGTCAGACTATATCAAGAAAGGTTCAGAGCCGAGATACTTATGGTGGATGGAGGGTGAATGGGTCACCCAGTCACCAATGCACACAAGCATTTTCAAAACAAATTTCGGCATCCACTGGCAAAACTGGAGTAGCAAATAAAATAAGAATTGCCATTGAGTTTCCTCTTTCAATTATTTTCTTCTTTTTTCTTTCTTTTTGATTAAGTCGTACTTAAAAAACATAAGTCACGCATGAATCACTGCTTTCCCCACCAAATATAGCCTATTTTGAAACAAGTCAGAAAATTTCTCCAGGAACCCTTTCTTCCCCCGCCCCATTTTAACTTGTTTTTTAATTTTTTAAATGACTAAGGCCAAGTATGCGAAAAATAGGAGATGACCATCTCCTGGTGATTCAAAAGGGAATCACAGTTGCAGCCAGAGCTCTGGGCCCCTTAAATCATTGCCAGCACTCAGGGCGGCACGCCCAGGGTAGTGCTGAAGGCCTGGCTGCCTTCCAACCCCCTCCCCTCCATTCAGCTTAAGGCCCCGCTCAGGTTGCCTAGGGCGCCAAGTTAACTGGGGCACCAAATGGTGATGCAATATCATTGAGGGATTTGGAGGTTGGGGCGCCAATTGCACGGTTTGCCTAGAGCGCCAGTTGCTGGCAGCTAGTCTAGGGCCGCCTCTGGCCCTGCCCCTTCCAGGGCCGCAGAGCTGGTCTCCATTCTTTGCCCAGAGGCCCAGCAATTCTGTCAGCCCCCTGCAAGTACTATTTTCCTGATCGGTCCTATATTCCAGATGGGGGAAAGAGGGAGAGAGCGATTATATGAAGTATGCAAGACCACACGGAAGGTCTGTGGCAGCATCAGGAATGCAACTCAAACCAAGAATTCTGAGTGCCACTTCAGAGTCTTAATTATCCTTCACCTTTTTCAGGTGTCATAAATATAGAACTCCTCATCTAATTGGATTCAAACTTGACAGAAAATTTAAATTCCAGACAAAGACTTAACCCATTCCATTTTTTGTTGATTTAGGAATAGGGTTGCCAGGTGTCCGGTTTTCACCCAGACAGTCCGGGAATTAGGGTTGCCAGGTGTCTGGTATTCAACTGGACAGTCCATTTTTTGTGCCCTCTGTCCAGTAAAAAAATTCAAAAAATACCAGACATGTGCAATGTTTGGTATTTTCTGCTTTTCTGGCTGGTCGCCTAACGGAAGCCTTGCAGGAGGAGTAGCCGAGGAGGTGGGGCTGTGATCAGCGCTGGGAGCCTTCAGCACAGCTGGTTGTGTGCGAAAGCCTGGCAGGGGCGGAGGGAATGGCTGGGGAAGCGGGGCTGCGATCGGTGCTCCAATTCTTTAACATTGCTTAAGCCTAGCTCTCCTGCCGATTACTGTATTCACCTTCTGCTCTATGTGGCAATTTGCCTGGTTTTCCTCAGGTAAGGCTCATTCTGAGACCAAGTAGGCTTAGCACCAGACTTTCCAGCCCTTAGAACAAGCCAATCTGTGATACTGGGTTCCCCTCACAATTCTGTTTATAGTACAGTATTGGGCCTAAGAACCCTGTGTCAAATTTATCTTTATTTGAACACATACAAAGAAAGCAACTGAGGCAGTGACATTACCTAAACACATGCATATAAAGGAGAGTTAAGAAAAATGTGTGCTCCGTTGTAAGATTGCTTAAATATTGTTAAGCAAGAAGTAGCTGCAGAGGCAGAATAATACAAGCATTCAGTAGGGAAATTATTTATTTTATTATGATGAAAAGAATAAGACAAATTTAATTACTAGATTTGAGAGCTCTTAATCTACATCAAATTAAACAATTTCATGGCCTTTAACATTTGGTTTGGAAGTTTCAAGACAACTGCAGCACTTATTTTTCAGCAAACCTGAGAGCATTTTAAAAGCACTTAAAATGGTAGAGTATTCCCTAAAGAAACACCAGCTCAAAGTATAATTATGCATAAAAAGAAAGGTGATAAGGTTTTAGCTTATGAGCATGAGGGAGAGTTTTAATGCTGACCCAGCTATAGAAGGAAAAATAATGATCAATATTAATCCAACAACAACTAATGTTATAACTATATTTTACAATGTAAAAACCCCCAGAAAATACTTATTTTTCTCAACAAGTTTGGTCCCCCCTTTTTTTTTTACTCAACCAAATTTTTCCCCCACCATGTTTGGGATTTTTTGTGAAGGTATCTGGAAATCCTATTTAGGAAAGAGTACAAAATCAGTTTCATAGTGGAAACCAAGTTGCAAACATACCGTAACTCAAGATGGCTGCTGCCATCCCTTAGTTCTTCATCTGAAGTCATAGTTCTCTTCAGATATCACAATCTTCTCTACAGCAACAAAGTGTGCTATCACAAAGGATTATGTTATCTGTCTAATGGGCAGAAGCAGATGGAATCCCTAAGCAAGAGATGCCGTTTCATCCAAAGTCTCCCCAACTATTGAAAAGAAAGTAAGTAGTATATGTTGAAAAATCTCAACTGTTAGTTTGTAATTTTAAAAACAACCAGTCGTCCTGTGGCATCTTAGAGCCTAACAAAAATATACAGTATGATGAGCTTTTGTGGGCAAAACCCACTTTGTGGAGCTTCCAGTTCATCTGAAGAAGTGGGTTCTGCCCAGAAAAGCTCATGATATATTCATTAGTCTCTACAGCACCACAGGACTACTCGTTTTTATAGTATATATCGGTACAGAAAACATGGCACACCATTAGAATTGTCCCTAAATAGGATGTCTTCCAAAGTTTTCCTATGAGTCAACAGTGGCTCTTTAATGTCACGACAAAGGCTGACAATGCAAAAATCTCATGAACAAGCACGTACAAGCCACTGAGAGAATGTCATGGTCTAAAACATAAGAGCAATATTGCCATTGCTGTTCTGGGTTCCAAGCCTGCCTTTTGTAATTTCAAAAGCCATGCTATCAAACTACAAACCTAGAGAGATGAAGCAGCAATGGGTTTAGAAGGCCGGGTTTAACATTTTAAAATAACGCTACTTTTTCATTTTAACAGTCTTATTTGGCTGGCAGAATGCCATCACTGCATGCAATTTAATACAGTCATATCTGTCAGAGACTTGCTATATTACTCTACCCACTGACTGACTGTCTTCTATATTGAATTGATAAAGGCTTGTATAATTGAGGCTGCATGTAAAAGTCTCAGCCATATAACTAACCTTTCTCTGCACAAAGCTTTCATTTCTTAACAAATGCCAACCCTTTTTGCAATTGACATTTTTCTCCTCCAAAAGTACTTAATAGCTGCCTCAAATGTTTTGATGTAGTATTTATAATACTCAATCTTAACAAGGACTGTAATTTTAGAAGCAAATGTGATTCATTTGAATTAACTGTATTAATTGGCAGACTCCTTACTGAAGTAGTGAAGAGCAGAAATACACAGGAGTCTTAAGCAAAGCAAAAGGTTTATTTTAGTAATATTACCTCTATTTTATGAAACCAAGGAAAAAGAGAAACTCCTTTCTCAGGACTCTGCAAGACTCACATTTCACTTCATTCACAGAGCATGAATACAGTTGATAATGCCAGAAATCATAACTCAGTTATCTGTATGTGCTGAATTGTGTTAATGTTTCTTCTTTAAATAAGTATTTTAAGTGCCAGGCATGGCTTTTCCATAGCATGAAGCTTCAGATATCACAAACACAAAATAATGAGTGCCATGTAAAAATATGAGAAGGAAAATATAGGAGGAATTAACTTTTTTAAAAGACAATATGCTGTCATGTATTACACCATCTTTTGGGTGCAATTTGATTGCCTAGTGCAACCAAATGACATGATCCTTCTTGAATAAAGATATTAATGTGAGGGACATGTTAGCTGCAGTAAAAATGATGAACTTGAAGAATGATTTTAGGTCAGTATCATATCCGAATGGGTATTAATTCACTCAGCAGCAGAAGACCCTGATATAACTGAGGTAAAGAAACTAGACTAAATTTCCATTTTAGTCATTTCAAACTGTTCAACCATGGTGAGGAACTCACAGACTTGAGACTAGATCTATTCATTTCTTTATTGGGAAAAGGGACCAAGATTTTCAGAAAAGATCCTTGACCTTAGGGACTTAAATCCTCAGATGTTCAGCTTCCACTGAAGTTAACTGGAACTCTGGGATCTCAGGAACTTTGAAAAGTAGGCAACTTATTTAGGAACCAAAATATGTATTAAAAACCCTAATGTCACTCATCCACGCATTTTTATGACACTACATTTGTAACCTATGGTATCCAACTATGGCCATTATCAATGCTGGTTTTAAACTTCCATTTGCAAAAACCACTGTATTTTTTGTGATAAGTATGCATGAGAAGACAAAATTATTGTAAAAATTAAGAGGGCTAGATTTTCCAACAAACTTCTTTTTGGCTACTAGAAAAAAAATCATCTCACTAACTTCATGGAACGTTAAAGTGATAAAAACGCTTCATCCTTTTACAGAAGCTTTTGAGGTGTTTTTTTGACAAGCTTCCTTTTCGTCATTGCTAAATTACAGTCAGAGGTGTCTCTGAATATCAGCCAAGTGTTGGCCAGTCTGATCCTATTCGTACACTACGCAGTTAGAAATTAAGTAAAACATTTTCACAGTTATACAGCTCTAAATATTTCTTAATCACTGTCACTTTAAACAATCACCTCTAAAAACAGCTGGAGGTGGTAGAAACAATGCCAAGATGAGGATGGAAGAGAGAGAAAAACATAGAAAAGAAAACATTCATTGAAGAATTTCAGACTGTGTTAGTAACCTCTAAATAAGAATTGTTCCTGCTGTCCTGCCCCACACACATAAATTCCTATTTTGCAGTATGAATCTCTAATGTAACTGATAAGACACTTGTTCCTTAGAATAACATCAAAAGACACACACAGCATGATTTGGTACCTTACAGAGTGTTTGGCACTGACACCTGTGCATACTGACACTTTACACAGGATAAGCTGCAATGAGATGCCTGCTGACTAATGTTTTGAGCATGCTGTTAACTAGACTTGTGGGTGGTTTAATTTGCATGTATTTATCTGTCTAGGTACTTACATGGCTCCCCTTGCTGTACTATTCAAGCATTTGCAAACTGGAATGAATGTGTCCTTGTAATTTAGCCCTGTGAAATGAGTATGATTATCCCTATATTACAGATAAGAAATGGAGGCAAGGAGAGATTGAGTGACCTGCAATAAGTCACACTGGAAATCTGTGGAAGAATCAGAATTAAAACCCAGATTACCCTAGTCCCAAATCAAGTCCTTCATCTACAAGGCCACCTTTCCTTTCATGCAGTATTTATTCTGCAAAAGATAGTAAGGAATTAAAAATGCAGGCACATTCTTTTTTAAACCAGAGATAACACTGCTGTTTGTAAATGCAAGTAAAAGACATTACTGCCCTTAAAGAGATTTTATTTTTTGTGCTTCTGGCAACAAGTCCCCTAACGTGTATTTATTTATTCTAAACCACAGCACTGTACAAACTGCATATCACCCTCCATTGAAACATGGCTATTTCTGTGCTGGAAAATGACAGCCTTTTTAGGGTGCATAACTATGCAACAGTTTAGGATAATGTAGTGACTGTTTTTACCCCACCTGCTAGAGGAGCTCTTCAGAACCCCTCTCCTGGCTTGTTTATCCATGTCCATAGATCTAAAAAACAAGTTGGGAGTGCATTTCTTAAATCAAGCTGTCTTTTCTACCATTTCAGTTAGTATTGTCACTCACAACAGAGTAGCACCATTCCCACCCTGTTAAGTTAACATCTATCTGTTCTTTCTATGAAATATAAATTTAGATTGACCACAAGAGAGCAAGAGCATGTCTTTTTAGTTCTTCATCGTCCAATCGCAAGGAGCTTTAGCTGCCAAGGCCACCGCGAGGAGTGTAGCCCAGTTGATGTACTTCTGGCTGACACCCCAATACCTGTAAATATCGCTTCATTCCATCATCCCATACACTGCATAACGTTCCAACCTGATACAAACAGGTGCAATAGCACTGAAGTCATTCCAGTGTCACCTGCTAAGACCAAGACTGAATTCTGCCCTATT